AGAGTTGCAAGTAACATGGGTAGTGTTACTTCTTATGCTGCAATACTTTTCAAACAGCAACAAAATCAAGCCAACAAACATATGCTGCCTCTGCTTCATGCAATGGAACGCTTGCTTGAATGTCTGAGCCCACAATTTTTTTTAGCTACCAGTAGCTCACAGTACCTGGCATGCAGAAATCTAAAGAATACGAAATTGCCTTTTTTTAAAACATGCCAGTCAATCATAATTAATGTTGTGCAATGAGTACAACTACAAGGGGAAAAAAAAAATCTCTTAAATGGCACTTAGTTACTTTACTATCTAAAATATTTCCTTGAAATACCAAATAGTGTCCATGGTGAATAGCCCTCCAGATGCCACAGCAATCCTGCTGCTTGCTCTCTTGTCTATTTATCTACATTACCAAGCTACTCATTTAGGCCAAGCTGTGGCTCCTTTCATCTCTCCAAAACCAAGCACATAGACTTAAGAGGACATGCTGTTTCTAAGTGGAACAAACACACCTTCAACTTAACACTTGAAAGCAGTAAAACAAAATGTTTTTCCCTTCCCAAGAGGCAATGAGAAGCAATGCCAGGGTCTGACAGACTGTTATGAGCTGTATGTGCTGTGCGTACACTGCTGAGTACATCCATCCCAGAGTGTGCCAGCAGCATGGATGTGTACAGACACAGCTGGCCAGACCTGAAGCTCCTGCTGCCTGTCTCCAAATATTCCTCCATGGGCTGTAGATCAAGAAAGGCCTGGGATGTGCACTCACCAGGGCCCTTGGTCTTATCTGGATGAATGAGGTGCCCAGGACTAAGGTCCACCACAGACAACACCTACCCCTGTAGCCAGCCATGGTTGTATCAGTCCCTGCCACTGTATCCCAGATAAAAAGTGGGCTAACCCTTTAAGACAGGGTGACTTCTTCCTTCTATGTGATCAGTAAGGCATTGCAGAATGATGATATTATGTCCTCCCTAGCAGAGAAGAACTAACAAATCTACTTATCTATCAGTGTAAGAGAACCTGAACTGTTTGTTCAAGGAGAGTTGAAACACTTCAACATTATCTTGGTTTTCTAACATGCAGTTTGCAGAATTGCTCCTCATGTTGCCTAACACACACAGACACACACATGCAAACTGTGTTCTGTGTAGTTTATGCATTTAATTAGACGACTGTGAACATGAAGTTTGAATTTTTTCAGTGTGGATGTAAGAGGGAAATAAACATCGAATGTCAGTTATCCACAGAGCTTCAGAGAGGTAGGGCTTTAGAGACATGTCAGTCAGAAATAGTGCCAGAGTGTGCCAAATATCTGAAGTATTTTATATGAATTAAACTGTTCCACAAGAAAGCAGTGACTTCACTTGTCTTCACTTCTTAGTTTGGTAGAGTGATGGACTTTGAACTATCCTACACTTAAAACCCCATTTCAATCACTCATGTACTGATGTGTTTGCTTAGACAGATGATGAGTAAATTTTCTACTACCAGTGGTCCAAGCTCACTGTTAGTTAGCACTTAGCTCACTAAGATTAACACACCTCATAAGATTAACTGCATGAAACAAACCTCAACAAATATAAAACATCTTGCAATTACTTCAGTTATATCTGTCTCTTATTTTGTTTCAGCTGTAGAATTCTCCACCTGGGAATTCTCCCCAGCCCTTAGTCCCTGGAGCCAATATTATCAGGGCAAGTGGTACATGTTCAAATCCTGAGCACTCAGGTCTAGGAAGATATGTAACAGTCTTATCCCAAGTAATGGAATGGTTAAACACAAGGAACTAAGATTCTGCCAGCTACTGTCAACAGACACTATGACAGCAAGAGACAGAGCTCCCTTGGAAAGCAGCTCCATAAAATGGAATGAACTCTGTTGAAAACTTAAGACCACTGTAAACCTCCCTGCTTTTCCTCTTGAGATGCCAAGTACATTGCTCTGACTGCCTGCAGTATAAACAGATAGCTATTTAGAAACTTGTATAAAATAAAATTCCAAAGCAAAACACTATAGCAATTCTCTGTGAGCTGTTCATCATCTGGTGGGAGGCTGCAAGACTACGGATGACAGGTGTCAGACGTGCTGAGTAATGCCTGGCTGAGGAGCGCTCGGGTGCTCCGGCAGTGAAAAGCTCCGAGAAGTGGTGCAGAAAGCAGGAAGGCTCAGATCCAGAAGGATCTCTTTGTGTATTTCAGTCTTTTCTCAGACATTCAAAAAGCCATATAAAGCATGAGTCAAGCATACAGAGAAACATAAACCTACAGCTGGCATGCTTCATTTAGGAATATACGTATGTTGGCAGTTTTCCTTCTCCTCCATCTCACTTACTGTCCAGGTTCAGCCAATCTGTTAAACACTTTACTAGCTTTGATGGACACAAACCTTCAGGACAGATTTAAAGTTAAGCCTGTTATTGCCCTTAGGAAATGTACCTAACCATGAAACAAGGCCTGAAAATGAACTTACAATTAAGTCCATCAGCTCCATGCAATAAAAAAGTAGTGACATGTTCTGAAAGTAAATTAAAAATCCAGGCAGCTCAAGCTCACATCTCATCAAGCACAAAGCCAGTCCTTTTTCAGGCTAAGTACTTATTTTGGCACTGGAGTTCAAATCTCAGGTGAACAAAAGTCCTGGTTATGGCAAACATTAAAAAACCCCCAAAAAATCCAAACAAAACTTTTTTTTTAAATTATTATTCACAATTACAATCTTGGCTGTCAAGCACTCAGTTCTGTCATGCTGGCTATTTCCACAGTAATGAAAGCATGCTGTGCCTTGATAACACAGCTCTTCCCCTGTCCATTTCATCAAGCAGGGAAGAGAAAATTATTGAAAAAGAGAAGGCCTCTGGCCTTCTGGCTGTGTTTCACACTGTGCATGTCAATGCAAGGCTGAAGCCCTGCTGCCAGGGCTCTCAGGACATTGATAAACTCTTGATATTGTTTAAAATAGAAACCAAACATTCATCTTCATAACACACATTAAAAAACCAGGCATAATGTGATTTCTACAAAACTTTACACTGCTGATCAGAAACTTCTAAGACAATCAGGCACAGCATATACTTCAGATTCTTCCTAAATCCTCAAATGTATGAATGCTACCATGAGCCCTTCATCACGGAGGTTATCATTGTGGCATGCCTTGAAAAAAATCAAACCTCAAGAGAGAGCTTCAGTCTAAGGTCAAGAGCCAGAATCAGTTGTAAGAAGGTGAGATTCAGGATTAAACATCCCAGCTGTGTCCTGTTGGAAGGATGATGGGATGATTGCGCAAATGTTAAATCAAACATAGTTCTTAGCTAAGTACTTGAGCTTCAGAAAACATTTGCTAATGGTCCTGCAGCTCCTTTGCCTTTCACACTTCATTATGTCCATCTCAGAATGCTTCATGCACCACAGAACAGCTGATCTTGTTCCCCCCTGAATATACTGGAGTTACTAATATGCAGCAGTTCTTTCTTACGAAGATGTAAATGCATTCATGACTGGCCAGAGCACATAGAATCAAGAGGACTTGGAGTTTTCCTAAATCTCAGATTGCAACAAAAGAAAGGAATTTCAGAAATGAACTTTCTCAGTATCTTATGATGAGTTTAATACTGTGCTCTGGAATACTGAATCTGATCAAAAGCAGCACTGGGAGGTGGTGGTGGCACCCTTTTTGAACACACAGCACAACAAAGGAATCCAGATCAGAACTTCTAATCATTGTGGTGTTCCAGTGTCATTCTGTAATAGTTACTAGAGTGTCAGAACTCTATTCCTGCTGAGGGTTTCATGAAGTGACCCTCTCCAGCCTGAATGCAGCTTCCTATGTAGCAACTGTTACTGGGGAAGGGCTGGTTTCACCCACAAGGAACTAACTTTCCCTGGTAATAGTTAAGCAGCATCACAGTAGGCTTTGGACTTTTGTTTAATTGCTTTTTGTTGTTGAATGTCAACAAGTCCCATTCACACCACATAGTCTAAGGAGATCTTAGGAACAGTACAACACCTACAGTTTTGGATATTTTAATCATAGCATGTTGTTGCTGTTCTTGGTAAAAGATGTGAAAGTCAGCACAGACAGTAAGAACTGGCAAAAATCTCAAAGAGCCTCTGCCCAGGAAACAATTTTGACTCACAGTTTTTGGCAAGCCAGTTATCATCCCTTATAGATAATTATCACTATACTGAAGACTGAAATTGAAAAACACAGAACAAAAGAAACTATACTGGTGCTGTGTGTATATATATATATATGCATAAGGGGTGTCACGCTTTCAGAGCTGAGCAAACAAATGTTGGTATCAAAGCAGTTTTGTTTGGGTGGTTTTTTTTTTTCCCTTTAATCCCTATACACACATTGTTCTTATGATAAAAATCAGGAACTTAAAACAGCAAATGCCTGTGTTGATACTGTAACATTTATTAACCTACCACATACCTCTCCGTATTTGCACTGCTTTATCTCTTTTTTATATATAAATTGTGTATCATTAAGAGTTATCTGTACAGCAGCTGCCAAAGAAAAAATAGGACAAATTTAAATATCCATTCTTCCTTCAGCCTCACAGTTCTAAAGTAACCTGGTCAACGGGACTTGATTCCAGCCAACATTCAAGAGGCCCTATCTCAGACAGCTTTTGTAAGAAGTGTCACTGGCATGTACATGCCTACACCCTGTCCAGGTCAGTCTATTATCTCCTTATGCCTCCAGTCCTGCTTTCTTTTCCCCAGTAACTGCCAGACCCATATTCACTTCACAAAACATTACTGAAAATCTTGAGAACACAAATCTTGCATTGTTCTCAAACATGTGAAAGTAAGAGAATGGGCTTTCAATTCATCTGCAGACATCTTCAGAGGATCAAAGCATGTATTCTAAAAGCTTATAGAAAACCAGGTAAAAATACTTACTTGTACCACTTATCTGGGAATAATTTAGTTAAATTCAAGCAAACATATGAGACCTGTGCATTTTAATGAACTGAAAAGAGCTAAAATCCTGTGTGATCATTTTCAAAAAAACAGATTTATTCTAAAGATCTTTCACAAACATCAAACAAAATATATTCTGCAGGATATGCACAGCATGTGAGAGTTCTGAATACTTGATCATTTCACCCAAAAATTCCTTCACCAATCAAAAGGCAAGTAGATTCCTCACCTGCAAACTTAGATTTGCCCAGGAACCTTGCTGTTGTAGGGCAGCAGGCTCACAGAGGGAAATCTGCTTTTAAAGGCTACAAAAACACCCTTTCTTCAAAAAAAAGCTTTATTATAGGTGGAGCTCACTTCCCTTCTCAGGAAGGAGGCAGTTTAACCAAAGCCCTGCTGAATTTAAGATACAGTAAACTATAAAACAAGAACAGAAGTAAACTCAGATTCAAAGTGAAGGACTTAGAGGGAGATACAGAGAAATCCCATGGTGCAACTGCTGTCCCTCAAGGCACCCAGTCACCTTTTTTATGTTCAGTACCAAAATCTTTTGATAAAACCCAAAGCCACTCCCAGAATGGTAAAGCAGGAGTTCCTGCATGTTCCTTCTCTGGCCTGACAGAAGTCACCTTGGTCAGAAGAGGGTCAACAAAGAAGTCTCTCAGCTCCCTGGGAGCCCTTGCTGGGTCTGTAAATACAAGAAACTGAATGGAAAACTGCAACATAGCATCAGTAGTGGTCCATAGCAGAAACAGGTCACAGCCTGGTATGTGTCCTCCCACCACATGTTCTGGAGTTTGGTTAATGGGACACTGTCTAGGAAACATCAGGCACCCAGAAGCAGCTGGGAAGCTCATGGGAGAAGGACTTGGTGCTGGAACAGGAAGACACCTCCTGTGTTGTTCGTTCAAAGGCTCACAAGGGACCACCACGTGTGCTAAGGAAACGCCACAATGCCCATCCACACTCCAGCCACACTCACAGAAGTACCTGGGGATGTTAAGACTTTCCATTCCTTATTTTGAGTTCAGTAACCTGCCATAAATTAACATCCCACAATGTACTTTGCAATAAAGAGAAATTAAAATTTTGAATGCAGTTGAAATAAAACCAGTCCTGCTGACTAGTCAGGAATATTACACAAACTCTGGCCAAGCTGGAGCTAAAGCTATCAACTGGTGGCTGAAGCCAACATGTTCACTGATCTGACATATGGTGCCAAACAGGAAAGATAATGGCTGAGTTCTTCCTACCTTTCTCTTAACAGAAGCACCTGTTTCACTTTTTCTCTATTTGGCTACTGATTTATCTTTTTTCATTTGTAAGGAAGAGTATATTAAGCATCCAAGGATTATTTTGGCCAGCATTTTACAGTTTCCTTTTTGAAATAAAGCCCTTCACCAATTGCTTTATCAGATCTTTCTTGCCTTAAAATTAGTTTACTTGCACCACTGTTATCAACAGATCAAGATATCTACTTTTCACAGAAAATACATTATTCATTCTGTTAAAAAAAAAAAAAAAATATATAAACCCCTGACTTCATTTAATCAATCACAGAAAATACATTATTCATTCTGTTAAAAAAAAAAAAAAAAAAGATAAACCCCTGACTTCATTTAATCAAAGCAAAGAGAAAGCTGAATTATCATGTCAGTTTCTAAGGCATTTATCAGTACTGATTGGAGGTCCAAAGTGATTTCATATCTTCTGACAAAGATCTCTGCAGAGATCATAGAGGGCAATTCTTAAAATCACTTTTATTTTCAGATATATCTTTACTGCAGTTTATTTACACAGGCACAGCATTTTATAAAGGAACTTGAATTGGATTAAATAGCAAGCGAGACATTTATCCATTATTTCAAGGGAAAGAGAAAAAAACAGTAGTTGCCTGGAAAAGTTCTGTGAGTGATTTACTGATTTCCTTTCTTACATTCTCAGTCCCACTTGGAAGTTTTCCTCCTCATATATCTGGACCCCTCACTGTCGATTGCTTCGTAGAGGTCTTTTTTATTCTCTGCTGTTGCATGCAAATAACCAAGGTAGGCCACACAGAGACTAATTGCAATCAGTCCAAACGCCATCACAGGTTTGTTCTGACAAGAAAAAAACATGGCAAATGTTTTTAGTCAAAACATTTTTCATTAAGCTCAAACATTACATTCATCTATCTCAGCTTAGAAACTGAACAGTAAACTATTGTGACATCTGCAAAAAATCATCACTGCTTTCTTGCAGACTGAATTTTCTGACAGTAAAAGGAATTCCCTTTGAAAAATAAGATTCTTTCTGGAGACAGAACAGCACATTGCTCAGTACTCTCTATTTTGCTGGTTAGAAATGCTGACTGAGTATGAATGAACCGGACAAAACCAATTACTGAAGGTCCCCACCACAACTTTTAACAGAATTCATCTGGGACAATGCACTCTGGTCCTGCTTGATTACAATCCTCTAAACCACACTTTGTATTCTTATCACAAAATCTACTTTTATTAAATCTATACTTATAGGCACAAAATTTCACTCATTTCTGGGTTCTGCAAATGTAAATAAAACCTGAGTATCATCAACTTAAATACAAAAGCAAGAAAAAGGAAAATCCAAAATATTGAGAAGCTACCAAAAATCAATTCACTTCATACCAAGAAAGTTTGCCTTCTATGACTTGTTCCCTTTTAAATATTAAAAACAACTCTTGTTGTTTTTATTACTTAATAATAACATTATTTGACCTGTCAAATTACATGAGTAATATACCTCTAAACAGGTCTTTCTGAAAGCAACTTGGCTAAAGAATCAGACAATACAGCAATGAAACAAAAGTTGCAATAAGCAATGTAGTGTTCTGCATCCTCCACAATCAAGAGTGGAAAAATTAATAATATTTTTAGTTACATTTCTGAGTGGTTTGCATAACAAGAGATGGTTATATAATGCCCAGAGAATTGCATCTCTTCAAGCATACTTAGTTTCTCTCAGAACTACTGTCTTACAGGTTTAATGAAAAGCTCTGGGTTCACAGCTCGGAAAAGCATAGTTGTCTGAACACTCCTCAGTCCTGGTTTTCTCTCTTTGGGTGTTTCATTTTCATTTGGAGGTTTGGTGGAAGACATGTTGCTTAATGTTGAGTACTTCCTAGAAGTAGAATGAAAAACAAGTGTAATTTCTGTAAAAAACCTGGAAGAGCTGCATTCACTGGATTCAAATTCACACTCAGTTTGTCTTACAGCATCAATTTTAATTATGACTGGTGTAAACATTACTGATCAGCCTTGTTGTCACCTAACAGTCCCAGCTTACGCACAGTGATTTCTAATCTTGTTAATTTCTAAAATGTTTCTAAAATTAAGCTTAGGAGATTCACATCTTTATACAGCAAATTTAATTTTCCTGATAATGGGCTTCAGGTTTTTCACTTGCCATTGGCTAATGCTTTAGCTACCTGTGGACCAAATAGCATCAGTCTTCAGGCCACTGGTTAAAAAGACAATCCTAGGAAAAACTCTTCTACAAAAAAACCTTCTACATGACAGGCCAGCCCAAGCACCAGTGCAGAGCAGTCACTTTAGCCACCCACCCCAGCAGGCCCAGCACTCAGGTCTCACTTTTGCACTCACAGGGCAAATGCATTGGGTTCAAAATGAAAAAGGGAAAATTTAAGCTACTTAGCACGTGCAAGGAATTCTTTATTCTGGGGGTGGTGAGGCACTGGAACAGGCTGCCCAGAGAAGTTGTGGATGCCCCATCGCTGCAAGTGTTCAAGGCCAGGCTGGATGGGGCTTATGAGCACCCTGGTCTTGTGGAGGGTGTCCCTGCCTCTGGCAGGGGCGTTGGAACCAGATGATTTTTATAACCCAAAGACGATTTTTTTTCCAACTCAAACCATTCTATGAGCACCTGAGCAAAAGCGGAAAAACACGCCCTTGCCTACCCCTGATTACTGAGGAGCAGAGGAGACACGGTGCTGGGGATCCCCTGGGAAGGGAAGGGCAGCGCCAAGGGCAGTCGCACAACCCCATTCCGGGCGGCGAGGGGCTCCTGGCGCCGCCACCGGGACGAAGGGGGCAGTTTGGCCCCAGCTTGGCAGAGCCCAGCAGGAACTCCCGGGGACTCCCGGGACCCCCGGCGGGATCTCCTCACGGAGGGCGCGGCGGAGAGAAGGGGGGGGCACTAACGGCGCGCGCGCCACCCCGCCCCCCCTCGCTACTCACCGCTCGCAGCCAGCGGCGCCTCCCCGCGGGGCGGGGCTGCGCCTGCGCGCTGGCGCCCCCTCCTGGGCGGAGGCCGGCGGCGCGGGCCGGGGAGGCGGGGGGGAAGCGGGTCCCGCCCCGCCGCTCCTTTCCCCTCCCCTCCCCTCCCCTCCTCCGTGTGGCGGCGGGAGGAGCGTGTTGTCCTTGGTGGGGGTGTGTAGCTGTTTGCCCGAGTCTTCGAGGCTGGAAGAGAGCTTTCAGGTCATCCGCTACAAACGTCCACCCGACACTACCACTGTAACCCATAAGCACTAAATCACCCAGCCCTAGATCCAGAGGCCTCTTGAACACCTGCAGGGATGGTGACTCCCACCACTTCCCAGGGAAATACTTCAGGCCTGACCACCCTAACAGTGAAAAATATTTTTCTAATGTCTAATATGAATGCCCCCTCTCAGTTCAAGGCCATTCTCTCTAGTCCAGTCACTGCAGGCACAGCAGAAGAAACTGGCCCCAAAAACCTTCCAGGGAGTTGTGGAGAGGGATAAAGGCCCCCTCAGCCTCGTCTTCTTGAGAATGAACAACCCCAGCTCCCTCAGCTGTTCCTCATAAGACATGTTTTCTAGACCTTTCAAGAGCCTTCTTGCCATTTGCTGGCCACACTCCAGCACCTCAATGCTTTTTAAAGTGAAGGGCACAGAAGGCAACGCAGCATTCCAAACTAGTAAGTGGGAGGGGGCAGGAGCAGGCTGGATCAGACGGGCTCTTCATGGCTGAGCCACTCCTCGCACCTGGCCATGGTCACAGCCAGTCCTGGCTTCATCCTCTCTGCAGCCTCCCCTCAGATACTGACAGACGCTGTGGAGCCCCCTTTTTAATTATCTCATCTCAAGGCTGAGCAGGCCCTGCTCCCTCAGCCTTTCCTTGTAAGAGGGATGCTGAAGTCCCTTAGTCATCTTTGTTTCCTTCCACTGGACTCACTCCATGTCTCTGTTGTACTGAGGAGCCCAGAACTGTGGTTGGTCCCAAGTGCTGGAATGAGAAAGGAGTGATTCATGTGGAGACAGTCTCTGGGAGTACAGTCAGTTGAGCAGGAAAATATGCTACAATTTAAGTGTCCAACTTCTGTTGTGTAGATCCAAACCCAAGATTTTGGGTGTCTGGAAACTCCTGGTTATGTAAATGCTGCTGTGTGGTGATGTTTTGTTTCCTTTTAGTTGTAAACAGTAAAATTAATAAAATTGCTTGAGGTCCAGAGGAAACAAAGCCCATATGGTTGCCTCTGACTGCTTGTGCGTCTCTTCCTACCTTCACTGAGTTCAGTGCCACCGGGCAGTTTCAGCCACATTATAAAGTAGGGGAGAAAACTGAAGTTTTGGAAAAAACAATACCTGTAGGGTAGGGAGGGACACAGATCAGTGCTCCCTTAGGTAACTGGCAGGCAGAACTGAGATGTGATGGATAATATTACAGTTTTAGCAGCAGTGAGCTGCTGGGGTAACGCATGTAGCTCTGGACTCACCAGCCCTGGCTCACACTTGTCTGTACCTGGAGGGTGAGTGAGAGGACTCTGGTGGAGTGTCTGCTTATTGCAGCCAGGGAGGCAGGAGGGAACAAATAAGTCTTGGCCAACAGTGGCTGAGCACAAGCTGGCAGTGTGCCCAATTGGCCAAGAAAGCCAGTGGCATCCTGACTTGGATCAGCAATAGTGCGGCCAGCAGGACCAGGGCAGTGATTGTTCCCCTGTGCTCAGCACTGGTGAGGCCACACCTCGAGTGCTGTGTCCAGTTCTGGGGTCCAGAGAAGGACATTGAGGTGCTGGAGCGTGTCCAGAGAAGGGCAACAGAGCTGCTGAAGGGTCTGGAGCACAAGTCCCGTGAGGAGACACTGAGGGAGCTGGGGTTTTTCAGCCTGGAGAAGAGGTGGCTCAGGGGGCACCTTATCGTCCTGTACAACTACCTGAAAGGAGGTTGTAGTGAGGTGAGGGTTGATCACTTCTCCTAAGTAACAACTGACAAGACAAGAGGAAATGGTCTCACGTTGTGCTGGGGAGGTGTGGATTGGGAAAAACTTTCCCACTGAAAGGGTAGTCTGGCATTGGAACAAGCTGGCCAGGAATGGCTCAAAAGGCGTGTGGATGTGGCAGTTGTGGATGTGGTTTAGTGGTGAAAACAGTGACCCTAGTGATCTTAGAAGTCATTTCCAACCTTAATAATTCTATGATTCTATGGTATCTAGAGGTGTCCAGGCTTAGAGAGCTTCTTGTTCCATGTTTTTATTCTGCAGTAATCAAACTGCCTCTTTTTTTAAAGATGGCAGAGTAATAATAAATTGCAGGTTAACTTTTCATGTCTAAATCCAGATGGAGTATCTAATTTTTTTTTCTTGTTGTGAGCAAATATAATGAGGTGAGAAAAATAATAGGGAAATAAGTTTAGGTGTCAGGAGAGGATTGAGTGGTATGTCTGGGGTTTGTGTCAACAATTAATTCACAACATACCATCTGCTAATTTGGTAGCTATTGTTTTGGAGGCATATGCCACACAGCTGATTTTGTTTGGAAACTATTGAGTAGAAAATCTGAGTGATGCTGCTTTCATTTGTTTTCATATTTGTCTAATTGAAAGAAGCCAATGCAAGGTTTTTGCAAGAGCTTGGTTTCTGGGAAAGTAGCTTGGTTTTCTTGAGGGGAAAGGGGATTACCGTAAAGGTAATATAGGAGATGTTCTGCATACAGCTCCCAAGCAATTTTTTCCCCCACATTTTGGAAGCCAAAAGAATTACAGCAACAGAGAGAAAGCGCCCTCACTTATTGGCCATGTACCCTTTCCCAGCAGTTACACCACCCATGCAGATAAAACTTCTGATCCAAAGTCAGGCAGGGTCATGATAGATTTTTCCAGATTTTGGTAGGATGGGTTTATGCCAGAACACATTTTCAATATATTGGTGGCAGGGATTGTTAGGTTGCTGCTAGTTCTCTAGCACTTCCCATCTTATAAAGGACAGGTAGGTCCCAGGCATCACTGACAAGGGAAGATCCTACACTGTACAAAAAACACCACTGGCTGAAGAGAATATATTCTCCTAATGAAGGGCTGTGGGATAAGGCTTTGTGTGTAAAAAGAGAAGCAGAGAGGGATGTGGAAACGGGCTTAGGCTTTGATGTGAATGCTGGTACTTGGCATATGTTAAGCATGTGCCAACTAACCAGATTAACTGTGCAGTGATGAAAAGCTTAGACTGCTTACTGTTTCTAGTTTTGCTTTATGACTGTGGGAACGTGTTGTATGTTATCTTTAATGTGAATATTATGTTGCTATCATCTGACCCAAAGGATGTTGAAACATTCAATCCATTAAGTTGTTTGGTATATTTTATAGGAGAGGCTTTATGAAAGTGTAGAATAGTAAACATCTGTGGCATTTCTGAGTCACCTATCCTCTTAATATCCGAGTATCGCTCCTGAAAAGAAATCACACAAAACCCCATTCCTTTTCTAAACCTGAGCCTGTTACTGAGATTTATTTTCCTTTCAACTAAATTCCTTTGGGATTCTGCATTCAGTATTGTGCTTTGTGCCACAGCCATTCACAACCTCACAGCGATTTCTGCTTTTCTTGAGACTCACATGCCCTTATCATTTGAGCTGCAGAAGCCTCTGCAGCGAGCGGAGCGGTGCTGTGCCCCGCAGACATGGTCAGCATGTGACAGCCAGCCTGGTGCGGTCTGGGGCACAGCACCGTGCCTCCTGCCCTGGCTGATTGACCTCACAGCTCCTGCTTATTTCCAGTTCTGCACAAGAACAGAGCTTCACATTGTCTTCAGAATAAAGATAGGGTGCCTCAAGGTACTGATAAGCTTATCCTTGCTTTAGAGACACAGTTACAGAGCTGTTGTAGGCAGAAAAAAAAATTCTTTTTGCATCTACACTGGGGCTTCAGCACTGGTATGACTTATAGTGAGAGATGGCAACTACCATCACATATTTGTTAGAGTTTTGATATGTGAATATGAAATTCACCTTTTAAAATTATTTTAAAATGTTTTAGGCACCATGAGTTTCATAATATTTAATTGGAGTTGACAACTGGGACTTTTTTTTTTGTTTGTTTTGTGCTGAACAAATCTTGGGGAGAAGGGAAAGCAAAAATTAGTAATTAGAAGTACTTTTTCCCTCCTTGCTCAAAGCTAATGATGAACTTGTTGTTGCACTGAGGCATGTGAAATAGTATGGCCATATTAAGGACATAAATGCATAAGAAACAAACAGACCAGCTAGACAGGGGTGGCATTGAGGGTATTGAGGACTTTTTGTGTGGTTGTTGCTCTGCTCGTGTCAGTCTCAAGAGTCCTTATGGTGATTTTCAGCAGCTTTTGATCCTTTGTGTTGTTCCCATTGAAAGCAAGCTGTTTTCAGACAGCAGCATGCACTGTTTGAAACCCTACCACTGACAATCCCAAACAGTTTTAAGGCAATATACATTTTAAAACCAAGACTCTTCTGTGTTTCATAACATTATTTGTATGTCTTCTATAATACTTGTTAGCCAGCCGTGTCTCTGTGAGACAAAACAAATCACCCAGCCGTGCTTTCCAGCAAAGATTAAAGCAATTGTTATTCTTCAAACACTGATCAAGCTTATAAATCTTTTTCAACTGAATTCAGTATGGAAGGAAAGAGGCACTTTGTTTGGTTCTACTTTCATTTTTGAGTGGGTAAATTGGTTCTGACTGGGAACAGAATATCAAAACTCAAAGCATCCCCTCTAGAAAGAAAAAGGTGATTTCTACTACAAAAGAAGAGCAGAGAAACATGTGTAGCACTAAATTTTCTCACTACAACAATGTACAGCCAGATACCTTACAGTGGGGTTTAAAGACAAATTTGAGCTAAGACTGCATCTCCAAAAAGGAAGGGCAAGGGGAGACTTCTTTTCACTTGTAGTTGCTCTGGACTTCTTCGCATGAAATGTCATAATTGCTCAGCCTTGGAGTATGCCAATTTTTTCCCTGGTCCATTGCCAGAAGAGAAAAAATAATAAAGTGTATTTTTCAGTCTAATGTAAGCAGGGCGATGCAGTTGGGAAGGCAGTTGGAAGTGGAGGCACAGACCAGGACTAACCTCTGCCTCTGACACCAGGACTCCCAATCAGTTTAAGGCGTGGGAACTTAAAATCCTTTCTAACGCAGGCACCTTTTCTAATCTCAGGCAGGGAACAGAGCTCCTAAGAAGACTACAGAGGGTAGAAATTTCACTGTTTCAACAGAACAAACTCTGTTGTAAGGGAATCTGACTCACAGTATTCTGGAACTCTTCAGATTTTCTGCATCTTACAGTTTTCTTTTAATAAATACCACCATATAGAATAATAAAATCATTAAGGTTAGAAAAGACCTCCAGATCATTGACCTTGAGAGGAGCTGGTTAGAGCATGGTGCTGATAACACTGAAGTTGTGGCTTCAATCCCTGTATGGGCCATTTACTTAAGAGCTGGACTTGATGATTCTTGTGGTCCCTTCTGGTTTCTGTGATCTGTGAACCCAATGTTTCACTGAACACTGCCATCCCAATTGAACTATAGCACTAAGTGCCATGTCCAGTCATTTCTTTAATGCTTCCAGGGAAGGAAGTGTTTGTTGAACCTTGTAAAATTGGCTTCAGCCCATTGATCCAGCTTGTCCAGATCCCTCTGCAGATCCTTCCTGCCCTCAAGTAGAATGCATCAACACTCCCACTCAACTTAGTGTCATCTACAGCCTTACTGAGGGTGCATTCCATCCCCTTGTTCAAATCACTAATGAAGATGTTGAACAGGGCTGATCCCTGTGGGACACTGTTAGTGACTGGATGCCAAATGGATGCAGCGCCGTTCACCACCATTCTCTGGACCTGGCCACCCAGCCAGTTTTAAACCTGGAGAGGAGTGTGCCTGTCCAAGCCATGGGCTGCCAGCTTTTCCAGGATAATGCCCTGGGAAATGGTTTCAAAGGCTTTGCTGAAGGTCAGGTAGGCAACATCCACAGCCTTTCCCTCATCTGCTGGCTGGGTCTAATCCCCTTGCTCTTCTGTACGTGCTGCATGATGGCACTCAAGATGTTCGGTTCCATAACCTTCTCCAGCACTGAGATCAAGCTGACTGGCCTGTAGTTTCCTGGATCCCCCTTCCAAACTTTCTTGTAGATAAGTCACACTGGCCAACCTCCATCCTACTGAGACCTCCCTAGTTAGCCAGGGCTCGTGATAAATGATGGAGAGGGGCTTGGCAAGCTCTTCAGCTCCCTCGCTACCCTCGGATGAATTCCATCTGGTCCCACAGACTTGTGAGGGTCCAAATGGCTCAGCAGTCCACCAGCTACTTCCTCTTGGGAAGTGCAGGGGGTCTACTCTGCTCCCTGTCCCTGACCCCTAGCTCAGGGGGCTGGTTGCCCTGAGGATCGCTGGTCTTTCTGTTGAAGACTGAAGCAAAGAAGGCATCAGATACTACAGCCTTCTCCTTGTCTTTGGTTACAGTGTTTCCTCTGCAGCCAATAAGAGATGGATATTTTCCTTGGCCCTTTTTATGTTGTTAATGTATTTATAAAACCCCTTTTTATTATCTTTCACAGCAGTGGCCAAATCAAATTCTAGCTGAGCTTTTGCCTTTCTTATTTTCACTCTTCATAACCTAATGACATCCTTGTGCACTTCCTGAGTTTCCTGCCCCTTCGTCCAAAGGTCATAAACTGTTTTTTCCCTGAGTTTCAGTAAACGCTCCCTATTCAGTCAGGCTGGTTTTCTTCCACACCAGCTCACCTTCCAGCACATGGCAATGGCCTGCTCCTGTACGTTTAAGATTTCCTTCTTAAAGTATGTCCAGCCTTCATGGATCCCTTTGTTTTTAAGGGCTGTTTTCCAAGGGACTCTGTGAACCAGTGTGCTGAACAGACTCAAGTCCATGCTCTGGAAGTCCAAGGCAGAGGCTTTGCTGATCCCCCTTCCTTACTTCACCAAGGACCAGAAATTATTATTTTGTGGTTTCTGTGCCCAGGATGGCCGCCGACCACCACACCTCCCACCAGCCCTTCTCTGTCAGCAAGCAGCAGGCCTAGCAGAGCACTGCCCCGGCAAGCTCCCTTACCAGCTGAGTCAGGGAATTACCTTCCACACACTCCAGGAACTTCCTAGTTCCTGCTCTCCGCCGTGATGAGCTGCCAGCAGATATCTGGGAAGCTTTGCATTACCTGCAGTCCAGCTCCAAGCTCTGGCACCTTTAGTCACCCTCTGAAGGCATCAGCTTCTCTGGGGACAGTAACAAGGTGCAGGTTCAGGCACATGTGTAAGTCTGTGTGGTAGTTTCCTCTCTGTAAAACTACCAAACATTCACATATAATTCCCAGATAAAAGCCACAGTAAGTCTGAGCTAATTAAATTATACTATGAATAAATTAGAGTGTGAATAACTCATTTAAGAGGCAAGGAGTTCAGTCTTTCTGCATATTTTGTAATATTACTCAGCAGAACAGCCACATCCCAGGTAAAATTGGCCACCAAAGCCCTGATATGAGATGCATGAGGCAGGGCATAAACACTTATTCCATTGCTTAGTTATTGAGAGTGTAGTTGTAGGCTTCCTGGTGGGGAGTGGTTCAGCTGTGTAGGCCAACGTGGGTACTGATTAGCATGTGCAATAAACAAAATACATTTCAATAAAAAAACCTCAGGCTTCACTTGCTTGGGAAAACCACTGTATGTTAAAATCCTAAGAGAAAGGCTTTTCTGAACATTTGTGTAATGTATTGTTGGGAGTCATGTCTGCCTAAAAGAATATGTGTGTTTTGTGGACAGCTGACCTGCCCAGGAGAACACAAAATGCAAATCTGATGTAAAATGTCAAAGAGCAAACGGTGTGAGTTAAGGCTCACAACACACGTCTTCAGGCTGTGCTTCTGTGAAAACACAGAGTGCAGCATCTGAGCTGATGCCAATGAGTGCTCAAAAGATGCAGATAAATCCTACAACTTCAAATAAATGCCAGTTTCCTCATATCTTTCTGATGATACAAGACGCTTTATGGTTCTGGTTTGAGCTGTGTGCCAGCAGGGATGATCAGGTTGCACTCATTTAGTTTGTATTACCTAGGAGATAAGCAGTTCCCATTTTCCAGGCATAAAATAGTAACTCCCTTTCTCAGAAATGAGCTGTTGATTGTTAATTCCACTAGAGAGCTGGGATCCAGCTGTAATCATTCACTGGGACACAGGTAAGTTAGATTTTCTTGTTATAAAATACAGTTTCACTGAATGAGAAGTTGATTTTCTAATATTAAATAGGATTGATAGTAGCCTCATGCAAGTGTCCCATCAGCCAACATAAACTATGGATATAATCTGCTTTTTGTTGCACTGTTGCAGTACTTCATAATATTACAGTTAAAATCTCTGATGTGGCCAGTGACAATTTGTTATCCAAGTGGAAATCTTTTGACTTGTTCAATTCTTTTTATTAATTTACAAGTTGACTAAAGTGTGACAATAGTAACAGTAGCCTGAGTTGAGCAAATATTTATCTCTGTTGAAGATCATTTGCTGTGGAGGAAGATTTTTGTTTACATCAGGAGAGCATGGTAGAAATGGGTTATCTGTTTGGCACCCGGGTGATGAGAAATGAAGTTGTAGTCATGTAGGTGAGATAGGAATATCATGGCTTTAAAAATTAAGTAATTTTGGCTACTTCTGAGCTTATTTTTTTAAAAATACATCATTGACCAAGTAACAAAGAAAACAGTGAACTATTTCTGCCCTCTGAAAACCCATTAATTGCTGCAGAGAAGAGACCACAGCAATTAGCAGCTGGCAGAGCATCACACTCGGCAGCTGCTGGTTTTTTAAGTGATGTTTGTGGTTTCCCTAAATACAAAACAAGATGGGATTTTGCCATAGTTTAGAAATTGTATTTTCAGGAAAGTGAATGTTTGGCAACTAAGCACCTGAAGCAGAGGGAAAAAAAGGAGTTTTGTCCCAAGCCACTGCAGAAACCCATGTGAAAATCAGATGTAAAAGCCAAATCAACCAGCTCCAGTATTGTGCTAAATGACCAGCTGAGCCCTCTTCCATCCAGTGTTTCCTTTTCCTTCCTGTAGATCGTTGACAAATAAGTATCTAGGCTAATGTCTTTACATACCACGTCTATTTTAAGCCCTATTTATTTCTGCTTTTAATATCACAGTAGTTAGAGGTTTATCTCCCAGTGGACTGAAGAGCTTATTTCTTGCTCCAAGGAGTTAAAAGTTAATAATAGGCACGGAACAGTGAGAGGTTGGAATCAGCAAGCTAAGGCAGGTGAAAGCAAGGGACTGGGCTATGAGAGACCATGGTTCTTTTCTTAGCTCTGCCTCTGATGTGCTGAGTGATGCTGGATAAACCACATCTGCCCCGTGACAGCACATGTTTTCTCTGTCTGGATTGACAGTGTTTGTAGGAGAGGATGCCCTTTCCCCGCTACATGTTAATGAAGGGCTCATATAAATGAATTTCATTCTAAAGCATCTACAGTGTCTACTCTTTTTCTGTGCATGACAAGAGCAAGCTCTTGCCAGTAGGTTTACCTCTGCCATTTGGGGGCCTCTCCTTCCTCTGGAAGCACCTGAAGGATGAAATAGGTGGGAAAATTTTGGCTCACATCAGCCTTAGAACCATGGGCTTTGCTGCACTACGAATGACTAGCAGTGGTCATAGCAGAAGTGAACAGCTTGGCTAGGACACAGACCTAGGAGGGCTGTGTTTGCTCATGGGTTGCCAGGTTCTACCTGGCTAGTTTTTGAAGAGCCTTAAAAATGAGTGTCACTACTACATTAATCTTATAGCTTTACTTATTTTATAAAAAGAAGTGAGTTGTCTGAAGAAGGCAAAGTTAATTTTTATGCCTTCTGTTTTCTCTTGCTGACTCTCTCATAAGGACCTGAAGATTACTGTGGCACTCTCACCATTGAACAAGAACCAAAGTCATTGCAAGGTTAGTGACTTGTAGCAAGAGTTTTTCAGCTCCTATTGCAGAGGTGCAGCAGTTTGCACAGCTGGTGCATGTGCAGCTTGGTAATGTGACTTTGAATCAAGTGATACTGTTCCTTGGTGTTCCCAGGAGGATTCCTGATCCCTCCTCTTATCTAGCAGAGCACTGAGTAATGAGTTACGAGTAATGAGTAATGAGAGCAGCATGCTGAGGGGGCTAGTGGAGCTTCCATCAACTTAAGAATAGACTGATCAGCCAGGAACAGTTTCTGCACAGCTAAGCCTTTTTAGGGCCAGAGAACAAAGCAAATCAGTGTTTCTCAGCCTGTGGACCTCACACCTCTGGTAGTCAGTAAGGAATCAGTAGGCAGTCCATGAAACAGACTCAGCAACCATAAAATGGGTGCATGCCTCCTTATATCAACAAACAGAAAAGATAAGGGCAAAATGCAGTTACTAAATGAACACCTGAAGATAAGCTTCATTATTTGTTTGGTTGTTTATGGAAACCATTGTGCCAGAACTTGTTTTTTCTTTTCCTCATAACACTGGGAGGATCTTTGGTGTTTGGGGAAAGAAAAAAAAATTGCTGTGATGATGTTTTGATTGATGTGTAGAAAATAAAGGAGAGAATGGACTCTAAAGATTGTTACCAGCTCTGCTTTTTTATGGTCCTATATCCTCTGCGATTTCTACTTCTGCTCTCTTCTTTATCATGTTTTGTCACTATTTATAGTTCTCTGTCTTCCTGTTATTAAAAAAAAAAATAAATAAATAAAGATAAGCTGTGGGTGCAGCAAATACTCCCCAGCAATGTTTACGTCAGAAAAAGGAGCTCTTCCATCCATCAAACTGTGAGGATAATTTAGCTTGCTTGTGCAGAATTGATAGATCCACTGTTCAGAGGCTTGTATTCTTTCTCTTATTTCTCACTGTTCCATCTCCATTTCCCAAAGTACTGTGCCTTCTTCCTGTAATTTGCCAGCTCTTTGAGTTCCAAGTTGCCTGCCCTTTGTGCCTCTAACACTTAGGATGCTTCCCCACTTCCTCGCCAATTATTCAGTTCTTGCATTTTCTTACTTTCCTGTCACTGCCTTCTGCCTGCCATTTTCCTCCACACAAAAATACCTTTTCTGCTTTTAAAGTAATTAAATTAGCAGAGCTGATTGAAATCTAGGTGAAGTAATTCTCTGAGCACTGTGCTTTTCAATGGATGCATTACTCAATGCACATTAGCCAACCTCCTGTAGGCATCAGTGAATGACAGAAATTAATATTTGATGAATATATTCAACAACAATAGCATTATTCAAACACTTTACTCAATAAAGTACATTCAGCACACTCAGAAGTTAATGGTGCATTCAGGTTATTCTGTTTGCTCACCAGAACATGTGCCCAACCCCAAGAGGGAAAATCGAGTCACTGATAAATGTGATGGAAAGGGGGTGGGAAGCCTCTTCTGGTCATTTGTGCCTCTCATGAGCAGTACAAAGTGTATGTGTATGTTGGTGGGGGTGTTTAAATCCCATATAGGGAATAAAGGATGTATGTGATGAGGAGGAGAGATTATTTGCTATTTCTTAACTGGCAGATCTTGTTTACGTGCTTATCACTCACACTTCAGCTAGTAATGAGAAAAACAAATCAACGTATTTCTAATCTTCAGCTTTGCTTCAAACTGGGGTGTGCATGTGTGTGTTGAGCAGAGGGTTGAAGTAAGTCTAACCACAAATCCCTGCTTTTCACTTCTTGCTCCATTTAATGTTTCCTTGAGTACTTGGTGCAAATAACCTATCTTCTACTGTTTAACTCTCTCTAATGCCTCCTTGGTAATTTCCAGTAGAGGCCAAGTCTATTTTGTGGTCTTTATGTCCACAGTGCCAAGGAGATCCCCCTTTAATGCTTTTGTAACTTTTTTAAAACTTTGAGTAATTTCATTTTCTGCATTGGACATTACCCTAACACAAATTGATGTCATATACATTTCCCACAATCTACTCAATTTCTTTAGCTAGCTTCCCTTCTTGACTCCCTTTGTTTCTTTCTGCACAAAATGAACCTAATAAATCTCTCCTTGGTTGCAAGGATTTGGATCACGCTTTTCCTCTCTTGTCCTTACATTAGCCAGAATATAATTTTGCTAAAGCATCATGCCCCAACACTACTCAGCATCTGCTGCTATGTGTACTGCCACTTCATTAAGTGTTACAAAATACCACTGCCATATTTTTCCTACTGCCCAGCTATGTGCTCACTAGATGATTTTTCTTTTTTCGTTGTCTGAATCCTCACCTTGCTCTGAATTTCATACAGCCCACTTAATGTATCTTCTCTAGCTGAGCTAACTTGACCCCTTATCAGTCTTGTGCCTGTGCTGTCCCATAAATCAATTTCCTCTTGTTTACCTGTTGAGTAACTCCTTGTCTTTGAAGTCCATTTTCTTTTTTTCCCCATTCCATGTGTTCTTTGCAATGCTTCAGTGAATTAATTGTATTTTCAAAGGATGCAAAAGCATCAGTTAACATCCACATCTATAGCAACAGTGGTCATAAAGCAAACATAACCTTTTCAAAGCACATTTGCAGCTCCTTTGAACAGGGGAGCTGTGCTAGTTACAAACAAACCTACAAAAGAGGCCCTGTGGCCCTTTAGGTTTGAAGCTGAAGGTTGTTTTCTACAGCCATTTCTCATTATCAAGTTAAGGCTGCAACTGGAAAAAATGTAACCAAAGTTCTGCAGACCTCTGGCTGCAGAAGCACTGTGGGCCACAAGACCTGCCCTGCAGTCTTTCAATAAATTTTAGTTTCTCTTCAACAGAGCAGACAGACCAGGAACCACTTTCAGTTCTGTGGAATCCCTGATGCCTCATTACTAAACATCTTGGTAACAGAATGTGTTGCTCTCTTTCAAATTAGCTTTGCAGGAATTTCATCCATCCAATCTTCTGTCTGGCTGGATTTGTCCCTTGCTCAGGATCTGTTGACTTTAGTAAAATTCTTGATCCCTATTTTCTTCAGTCAGGACTTCTTATTCTCCTTTATATTGTTCTTCTCAATGTGGGATTGGCAAAGAAAGTGTAAAGTTGATCTTTTCTAATCCCTCTTGCTGCTCAGTTAAGGAAGTAGCAGCTCAACTTTGGGAAAAAGAGACCTCAAGGTAAATTTCTCAATCTATATTTAGGTATAACCATGTCCTGATTTCCACCAGTATTGGTTCCCACTAATTTTTGTGCCTTGCTGGTGACCCATCATCTCTTTAATTTCTGTTCAGTGGGAGGCTCAGAACTGGTGTAACTCCAACCATGGATTGATAGGTGAAATCAGGCTTTTTGCATTAGAAAGAGCACTTATAGTGGCCATCAGCAAAAGCCCCCTTGCAGCCACAATTGTTTTCTATGGATTAACAAAATTCAGAATTCCCTCGAATGGTCCTTGTGCACATCTTAGACTTAGAAGAGGCCTCTTGAGGTTTTCCTTCAAATCTCCAGAGGACAGATCATCCACAAGATGCACATGCACGTGGTAACATTTCCCAGTGAATGCTTTGTTTCCTTGCCTGTGATTTATTACATAGTGGTGTGTTCATGCCTGCTGTTCAGCTCCTTTGAGACTGCTGTGACTGTGTGTTGCTTATTTAGAAAGCATTAAAGCCTTGAAGCTCATGTCTTCAAAAGTTTGATTTAAACTTCTGCTTGAACTCTGTTTGTGGAAGACAGGAATAGCTCTTTAATGAAAAAGTAACCACTCTGCCAAACATATTTAAAAGCATAGGAGCATATGTCTGAAAGGATATAAGCTGGTATTTCCCTGTTATCTTTTTTATCTGCAGCATAAAGGAGCAGCTTGGTAACCATTCTTGGCAGTATAAATAAGGAATATATTAATTTCTGCAGCTGTCCCTCAGCTCCTCAAGCCATTGCTCAGCTCTAGTGGTAGCAATGCAGGAATATCCAAATAACCTTGCTTCCCAGCAGAACCTGACCATAGGCAGAGGTCATGAAGGGCTGCAGAGCTGAGGGACAGCAAAACAAACACTGAGCTTTCCATCTGTGTTGAGCCTTACAGAATCACAGAATCATTTAAGTCAAAAAGGACCTCCAAGACTGAGTCCAACCTTTGACCAATGCCCACCTCATCAACTAGACCGTGGCACTAAATGCCTCGTCCAGTCGTTTCTAGAACACCTTGAAGGGATGTGACCCCACCACCTCCCTGGGCAGCCCATTCCAATGCCTCAATACCTTTTCCATGAAGCTTTGTGATGCTGTGGCCTGATTACTACTCAAACTTGCCCGCAGATGAACTTGTTCATTCCATCAACAGTCCCTGCAGCTACAGCAGGTCAGTGGGATTTGTGTGTGCCACTGCAGCCACAGAGGGGCACATTTTCTCTCCTGCTAGGCAGAATTTGCAGAAGCAGAAGATGGGATGAGGACATTAAATGACATAACACATGGAAACTTCTGATTTCTCTCCTCACCTCATGTCTCCCAGCTACTCTTTGTGCTGGGAATATCTCCACTTTTTGCTCTTACAAAAAAAAGGAGCTTGATACCCCCAAGGATCCAGTCAGATTGGGACTGGGATGGGGAGTCCAGCTGCAAGGGTGGACTCCCTTTGAGGAGATGGGGCCAGGTGCAAAGGTGGGCACCATATTCTTGGTGGATACTTCAGGTCTTCTTTTGACACTGATGAGTCTCCCTGCCAGTGGCTCCTTAGGCAGCTCTTCCAAAAGAAGTGTTCTAGAGTTAGGACAGGAAAGACTTGTGCAGATAAGAACTTGTAACACACACACACACACACACACACACACACACACAAAATATGCACACATATTTTGGAGTAATGATAAGAATTACAGTAAATAAAATCCAATGAAGCAGGAAAATATTTAAAATATTGCACAAGTTTACCCAAAAGTTAGACCACAGACAAAAAGCAATCAATTTGCATTTTTGTAGTCAACTTAGTATGGAACACTTGGTTCCTATGCATAAATTTGAAAGTGAAATCTGACTTGACTGTGTGTAGTATTTGCATAACTGACAGGGCTAAGCTGAGTGTAATTCAGTGGTAGTGTCAGCCTGAACTTGCAGAGAAAGCCCTACCTGACAGTCAGGAGACCCTCAGGGAGAACAGGCACATTTCTTACAGAGGACAGCTTAACACAATGATTAGACTTCAGCCTAATTGACAAAATGTATTTAAACAGCAAATAAATTTTGTTCAATAGCATCAGAATGTACCAGAATTATTAAATTATCAGAAATAAGAACAGCTTGCTGTTCTTATGTAAATGCTTAATAATATTAAATTACTTCTAAATGCTTAATAATTTTAAATTGTTTCAGTTACTGGTTATATTTCATGTTCAATGAATGTCCCATTTGTCTTCACCCAAGAGGATGCATCTCTCTGATCTTGTGTTTCTTTGATATAGCATTTCCATCTTTCCTTGATGAGAAAAATGAGCTGGATGTTCCTACGTGATCTGCTGAGTGGAGTGAATAAATACTCAACAGGAATTGGAAGAATTTGGGTAGCTGTTGTGTTCCTGTTCCGCTTACTGGTTTATGTTGCTGCCGCAGAAAACATCTGGAAACACGAACATGATGAATTTGAGTGCAATATCAAGCAGCCTGGTTGTGAAAATGTCTGCTTTGACCATTTTTTCCCTGTCTCTCACATCAGATTTTGGGCTTTGCAATTAATCATAGTCTCCACCCCTTCACTCTTGGTTGTCTTTCATGTTGCTTACAGAGAGAACAGAGAGAAACACCACAACCAGAAGCTTTACAAAAATCCGGGAAAGATAGATGGTGGATTGCTGTGCACTTACCTAATCAGCCTCATTTTAAAAACAGGACTTGAAATATTTTTTCTTGTTCTGTTCTATAAATTGTACAATGGATTCAAAATACCACATCTTGTGAAATGTGACATAAAACCATGTCCCAATACTGTAGACTGTTATATTTCCAAACCCACAGAGAAGATGATTTTCCTTTATTTTCTGGTGGCAACTTCATGCCTGTGTATTGTATTAAATCTAAGTGAACTGAGTTATCTGATGTTCAAATACTCCATAAAATGTTATCTGAAGAGACACGTGAAGAACCAGCAAGGCTCAAAAAGCAATTGCTGCGAATCAGAGCTCATCAGGCACAACAGAGCAGCAGCTGCAGGACGACTCCACAACAGCTCGTCATCTTTGCCTCTGAATATGCAAGATGAACATGAAAAACATTCCCCGCTGACTTGAAAGAAGGCTGGAGACCACCCTCCCATTACACAAGCTGTTTTTGACAAATTGCTTTTGCAATCAGTGCTTTGCAGAACTATCCCTTGAAAGGATAGTTACATAGGAAATGCTGTTTCTCTGTTAGTTCCCCATTACTTGAGCTGATAAATTCGGTTACATTATGTATGTTGTACATAGAATCATTGAGACCTTTTCATGTTGAAAAAAAATGTAGAAGTTCTGAGAATTCCATGAAGCTTTAATATGAACACAGATGCTTATGATAAATCACGCTGAAACAATTGCTCAAACAGTTGTGTACTGAATATTACACAGAATTGCTTTGGTACAAGAAAAAATGGGCTTTTTATATGCAGAGATAGGAAGAACCTGGGATTGATTAAGATGAACAGCAAGGGGTGTACAGGATTTATCAGGTGGGTGGATCAGACCTGGCAACTGCTGAAATGGCAGTGGGAACGTGCTGGCACAGAGTGATTGCTGTGCCTTGAAGTGAGCTGCACAGTCACTAGTCCATTCCGTTGTACTATGAAACATCGCAAAAAAGGAAGAACCAAGAAGAGGTAGACACATCTAGTTTAGCCCACGTGATAAAGACAGATTTGGTTATTTAGCTGTTTGTGGAGCACCTCCTTCTGGAATTGAGCCTTTACAGCTATTAGGGTGCTAATAATCAAAAAGCATCCTTTAAGAAAGGCACTTGCTCAAACTTGTGCAAGCAGCACGTGCCAGGGTAGAGAGTTAACTCCTGGTTACCTGCACCAAGCAGCTCCCATTTCATTAGACTTCTGCTCTGTAGTAGCGGCATTTAAGTGAACAGATCATTCCTGCTTCCCTAGGATCTGAATAGAGAAATGCAGACCATGCAATACAACACAACAGTAGCCAGTAACCCCTAGTATTAACTAGCCTAGAATCTGGTCCCTTTATTAAGGCTGAAAATATGCTACTCCTTCAGTAGATTTCTCTGCTGCAGAAGAACACATGAAATCTAAAAATGTGAAGAGCCCCAGTAGAAAAAAAGTAAAAAAGAATCACCTGTTCCCTCCCCCAAATTCCAAAGTATCTCAAACACCACACACCACTGCTCTTTGTCATCTGCGTTGTTTGGGCTAACAGGAAAGGGACAGAAATCAGCTAAGACATGTCTTCTGTTGAACCTAGGCTTCTAAGACAATGGAAAGTATTGCCTTAAAAACTTCCTTCAGGGTAGTATTCTTTCTGTTGCTGGAATGAAAGACCTTTGGACATACATCTGGTACTGAGCCTGATCAAAATGCAGTTTAGAGAAAAACACCAACTGAAGTGGAGCTGCCTGAATGCTGAACTAATTTTATTGTTTGTGCCAGGATAAGGAGGAAGAAACCGTGGCAAAAGCAGGTTAACTATTTTTTTTTCTCTGAGGCCCCCTCTGGCCCCATGGCTTTGGTTACAAAGCATTACATTTAATGAGTAGCAGTTACAGAGCAAAATTTAGCAACTAATGAACAAGCTACGCACTTCTGATGGTGATTTTCAAGGTAAGATTTGATGTTTGTTTGGGTTTTTTTTTCCCTAAAATAAACTTACTTTTATAAAATATGGGAAGACATTTGCTGCTGCTGAAATTAGCAGCAACAGCAGTCCCTCAGATACCAGCTTGCCAGCTTGTGGCCAGTTAGTTTTAAATCTTGATTGATGCTGAATCAGTCTTATATAGAGACAGGCCACCTTATACAATTCAGAACATTTTCTTTTAAACCTCTACATACACAGAAGGTGGCTCCTGACAGAAATGCAGTTAGAAAGTCTTTTGCAGCTCCTGGACAAAACCCACCAAAGAGTGTCTGAAGCAAAACTGCCCATGAACCCTGTGAAACTGCAACTGCCGCAGCCTAAGTAACTGAGAACAAACCCTAAAATTATCTTGGCCCATCTGGACCCCCATGCATCATTTTATTAATGATAAGACAAGGGCAACGCTATAAAATAAAAAAATGTTTCTGAAATATCTGGGTTTTAATAACTGTGGACAGATTTTTAAGAGCACATTAATGAAAAAATATTTATTCATTGTTTTTAAGGTAAGGTTTATTTGATAGAAAATGAAGAGAAGCAAACACAGTTTAGCCAACACAGGTTTCTGATAAAATTAGTGCATTAGCAGCTCTCTAATAAAAAAGTATATTAAGTCAGGGCTTGAAGGGGTTTAGAGACCACCTAAAGCTCTGTGGCTGGTCAGAGATTACCACTTAGACCAAAAATTTTCCCATCAAAACAAGAACTCTAATTCTTTGGAATGGATATTCAAAGTTTTATTTTTAGTTCTCTCTTCCAACAGCCAAGAAATTATAAATAAATTCCAAAATCAACATTTCGAGTCTTGGAAGATACTTCAGATTTGATAAAGCCAGTACCTTACATGAGAAATATTTAGAAAAATTATTATGGACCAACTCCACACAACCCGACTCACTCACAGCAAATTGCCAAGTAGCCTTCACATCATGTGCTGCAAAATTTGAGTGCTTTACATGGCTACTAATGAAAAGAAAACGAGCATCATTTAACCTGAGAGAACAGACACCAATCCATCTGCTTTCTGAACCCTTGCTCTTGGCAACCATTTGGTTTTACTGGCTCTTTTCCCTTTCCCCACTTTTATATGCCTTTGTTCTCCAGTTTAAGTTTTGCTCATCCATGCACGCCTGAAGGCATTTGCTGTTACATTTTTGGTTCAAATGAGTTTACAGGTTTGGTCCCTAAACTTCTGAATCACTCAGACTAACATTTTAAAAAACTGAACTCAAGTGCTATGTTCCGCAAGGATATAAGCAATTGATAGGAAGCTGATCTGAGCCCATACTGTAATGGAGAAATAACATAATCACTGCATGCACATTCATACAAAAATATTTACGTCATTAGTATTTCAAAACATCCCTGCAAACATCAAAAGATCCATGTCTTACATAGACTCTCATTTTCCTTAAAATCCAAGTAAGCTTCTTGCCTTGGGACAGAAGAGGTTTGAAAAAAAGACACACACAAAATATTTCCCTATTTGCTGATAGTTTTTCCTCTACTCCCTTCTCCAGTACCAGTGGCCCCATTTCCTATCCCTTTTCCTATCCCTTGTATCACCTCCATACCAAGTCTCCAGACAGGGCTGAGCAGTGCACGAGCAGGAGCTTCAACAACGTGGGAACCTAAACCCCAGCGTAGCCTGCCCCTGTCCCTCTCTCCCCTACACACAGGTGAGGCCCCAACCAATTCTTTGGCACAGAAACTAATTGCAACAATTAGCCAACTACTTGCCCCTCACCTGACCCAAAAACTGATTCCACTGTTGTTTGTACAAGCATTGCTCACTTACTATCCAGCATCCTAGACCAAATGTCCCAGCATAGTGCTCTAGAACCCACAGTCCCCCCATCCTGCTGAGAAGGACCACCCTGAAACATGTGGGGACAAAACCACTACTCTTACTTACACTGAATTAGGGCTCAGGTAATAGCACATTTCTTTATAAACATAGTTGAGCACCAGAGACTGACTGTCAGTTTAAAGGTGTCTTTTGATCACAAAACAGTCCATGTTCTGCATTCAGACAGACCCCTCAATTTGGTTGCTTCCCCATCAGCAACACCTGCTGGTTTAGTCAGCACATTCCTGATGGCAACAAGGGGCATCAAAGAAAGCATCTTTGCTTGAATGCTCCACAGTGAATGGGTGACAATTCTAGAAGGCAGAGACAGAGGAAGGAGAAAGAAAAGGCAGAAGGCAGAGAAGGACTGGGCAGTGGGACTGACAGCACCTTTGGGGCACCCTAAAGCAGCTGAAGTGCTGCTGGTACATCTGGCTCGGCCACCCCGGAGCCCCATCCCACCCAGCAGCCCCAAGGCAGGGGTGTGGCTTCAGGCCCCGGAGAAGCTGCCCATGCAGGTGTGCTACACCTGCTAGGGTGGGAGGTTTCCTGTATCACCCAAGGTAAAACATCCAAATGCAAACGCCAAATTTATTTCCTTGGGAGTTTCCGTAGGTGGCTTTACAAACCAGAGTGCTCTCTGCAGCCTCTGACGTTTTAAAGCAGATCCTGCCTTTGGTACCCCATTTTACGTTCAAAATACTCCTGTTTGTTTTTTAAAAAGGAAACAACAAACCCCATACTAGCTTATCTGTTGAACCGGCTGTCAGTAACCACCTAAAAGGGAGTGTGCCATGGAATATACTAAGTATATGGGTATAGCATCTGCTTTAATTGGATTGATTGGGATGAGACAATATTAAATATTTTATTCTCAGAAATTCAGATCCAAATCAGAAATTGCTTCCTGGATATTTATGGCATTGAATTTTTTTATCCTTTTCTCTTTTTTTAAATAGCATTCTAGTATAACACTGTGTAGCTCAATAGTTGTATGCTATTCTCAGTCCAAGAACTGCAAATGATACAGTGTCAATCATTGGGAATGTTGAAACTATTCAACTTACACAACACAAACATTCTTCTAAAGACTAACAGTTGCGAGGTCTGTTGACAGTGACTGAAGTGGTTAGGTACAGCTGAAAACAAGAGACTTCAGGTGAGCTTTGAGGATCCTCTCCAGAGGATCTCTGCCCTCTTCTCCCCTGCAGAAGTTCCCTGTACAATCACCGTGGCTGGTATCCAACAGCAGCTCCATCCAGGGGGACCAGCAGCCTCTGGCAGGTAGAAAATGGCACTGTGTACTTGTAATGATTACAATGATCGCTCTTAGAGTCACAATGCAAGGGTTTGTTTTGGTTTTATCATTCTCAGACTGCACCTCTGATTTACTAACGTGGCATAGTAAGAGTTTGGTCACTTGGGAGGGATGGAAAGTGAGAGGTGCTGATGGGCTCTGCTCAAATGGAAGCACGGGCTTTCTGCGAAGGTAAGCAATTTAGCACCATGTAGCAAACCAAGGGCTGTGCCCGAGGCCAAATGCTGTTGCTGTTCACACATAATCCTCACTCTCGCAACAAGTCACTTCATTTGGTTGTAGGAAGGTGCCCTCTGCACTAATATTCAGGAAAACTGTCAGAGATTCCAGGTGAATAGCTTAAGACCAGTCAAATCTAGCATTTAATGCAAAAGCTTTACACAGCAAGACAAGTTTATAGGAAAAAAAAAAAAAAATCAAGCCAATCTCACCCAAGATAAAGACTGTTTTATATTACTGAAGGTAGGTCACATCCAGTAACAATAATCCAAGAGAAGTTTTTGGTACCACACAATCCAGCTGGCTGAGTCAGCCATAAGCACGCATGAAAACCAACACTGAAGATTCCTGGGTACGGACAGCTCCCACCAATGCACTCACACTTTTGGTTACTCCACAAACGGGATACCTGTCATTTCAGTTAGCAGCATACAGAGGAATTGCTCCAATCCCGGGCACTACAAGCAGCACCGCTTCTGAGGCTCGTTCCAGTGTGGAAAAGAGAGGTTGTGACTGGTGCCACATACAGTCAGCGAGAGGCAGAGGAGCGCAAAGGGAGCCTATGCCACCAACAGAGCACAACCACCGAGTTTAGCTGTAAGATCACCGTCTCACTTCCCTTTCAGAAAGTGCCTTGTTTATTTAGTTTTTAATGGTATGGCATAAGGACTCGTGTATTTTATAGATAGATACCAAACTGGTATTATCAAAATAAACCCATCTGTTTTATAAACCCACTATTTACAAAAACGGTTTCTGAAGTTTTTTTGTTTTGTTTTGTTTTTTTAACAAAAATTAAACTATACACCAATCTAAGTTACAGAAACAAAAATAACCTTTATAAGATCACATGTATAAAACAAGAAATGAAATGTGTTTTTATTTAAGGCAATACTGGGCTACTTCACAAATCACCACCTCAAATATATACACTGCTCCACACTACTAATTTTCTATCACATTCACAACGGATTCTTTAATACCAAATATTGTTTTAAATCTTCAATGTAGCAAACTATTTTTATTCACATTTCCATTTTTATTATGGAATCATAAATGCTTTGTAACCAATTAAAAGCAATGAAAAATGTAGCTATAAGAAAACTATTATATTTATGTGTTAACTACATATGAATATCATCCATAGATACTGGATGTTAAAATTTACAAAAATGAGAGTGTGTCAGTACGTTTAACCTATGAAATGTGATCTTATCCAGCTTTTCTTCTGTAAATAAATGTTTTATGCAAAATAAACTGGATATGGCAGACTTAGCTAGCTTTAGTTCAAAAGTTCTTAATTTAAAATGATTAAAGGACAGTTTTAAAAACTTACTCACTTAGTTACAAATTAAAATTCCGAATATAAATGTGTCATTTAATAGTTTAGACTTACAGACTGCTGGTGGCAGCAAATGATTTACAATAATAAATATATACAAAAAAATGTATCTACAAATAAAGAAAACTGTTATACATGAGAAGTAACCTGGTGAAAGATACCAATCACAGACAACTCACAAAGATTTAGTTTATGGAAAGGACAATCTGATAGAAAGTTGAGGTCTTGATCAAGTATTTACAAAACTGAAGCAATTACTTTCTTCAAGTCCCATAGGGATAAAAACAAATAAGACATTTACATGACTCATGTCATGTTTTTTGCTAGATTAAATCACTTCAAAATAAAAGAGCTCCACAGTTACTAGCATGCTTGATGGCTTCCTATTCAAAATAAATTCTATTACAGGTCATGGTTAAACACATTAGGTTTTCAGTATTTTGATTCACCTTCCTCAGTACCTAAAACAATTACTTTTGCAGCTATAACCTCTGGATTATCCTCCCAACGTCCTTCGAGCTTTCTCAAACTGACAACAGGTTTCATTTCCTGAAGCTGCTTCAACACACGCTCAGAGCAGTCTTTAAGAGTCTTGTCTAACACTATCTTTACATTATCACCACATGGAAGCCGTGATGGGTTGGCAAACGGTACAAGGGTTTCGGTTTCAGAACACGACCACAAGACGTTTTCGCTTGCTACGGGAGCCTTCTCGCTGGCTTTCCGAGAGTTTGAATGGGATCCTTTTTTGGTTCCGCCGCTATGGTATTCTCTTTCAGAGTTCTTCTTTTGCTTCACAGCAGATTCTTCAAGGAACTTGAGGAATGACACTTCAAAGCCCATTGGC